TCCTTCCCAAATTTAAATCTGTATTTGTTTTAGTTAGCAAATATAACTAGCCAAATAACACCTGCCCTATTTTAAAAAAAAAACAAAACTCAAAAGAATTCTACAGATACTGTACTTTGTACATGGAAAAGCACTGTGTTCCCGTTAGAGGCCAGACGTAGGTGTCAGCCCCAATAGGTCACTATTACCATTGACAACATTTGACAGTCACCCAGAGGAATCAAGGATAGAGGATGGACTGATAAGGGAGTATTTTTCTTTTCTCTCGTCCAGTTGTGTCCGATTCTCAAGACTGCTTGGGCAGGTCCCTGTAGTTTTCTTGGCAAGGTTGTCCAGAAGTGTTTGCTACTGTCTCCTTCTTAAGGCTGAGAGAAAGTGACCAGCCCAAGGTCACCCAGCTAGCTTTGTGCCTAAGGCACGACTAGATTTCAATCTCTGGGTTTCTACCCTGTTGCCTTAACCACTACACCAAATTGGCTCTACAAGAGTATATAAAAAGCACCAAAAGAGCATTTTCCCCAACTTGAATAATCTCCAGGTACATGAATTTCAAATCCCAAAATTCTCCAGCCAATGCAGCTGTTGCTAAAAAAATTTTTACAGCTAAGATCCATGCATTTGCAGGGCACCAAGATTAGGAAAGGCTTTGAGAGGAACTGCTGGGGTAGAAGTAACACTTATCTACTGATGAACACAATTTCTACCTGTTTAGTTAGCCCTCATGGGATTGACCAGAAATTCATAAGCCATTCATAAGCACGAAAGTATTTAAATAAGTGAGCAGTGAATGACCAAAGTGACTTGAGACTTCTCTTGCACTGTGCCATTTCTTTTCTTTTTTCTTGCTTGCAGAGTTGGCCAACCATCTGTTAAGTATTTTATTACAAGGAAACAAACTCTTCTCTGTTCTTCTAGGTAGGGAGATTTCTTCCTCACACTTTCTTCCAATCTAACCACCCTCTCTTTACTCCAGGAGTCCCCAACCCCAGGGCCAGGGCCCATTATTATTGGGCCACGGCCTGTTCAGAACTGGGCCGCAGAAACGGCAGGCGAGCATGCACGCAGCTTTACTTGCGTGGAGCTCTGCACACGCACACGCTCGCTGGCCACTCACGTGGAACCATCCCCTCTGCCCCCCCGCCCATCCGCAAAGTGGGAAAGGTTGGAGACCGCTGCTTTACTCTATAAACATGCACATAAATGTTTGATACATTATTAAAGATAAGACATTTGAGAAATTTTCAAATGCTACCACCATTCGCTGCCCTGAATCCATTATAATATCCTAATATGAAGATTGTGATATTCTGCTTGTAATAAAGAAATAATCTGTTATTCGTAACGGAACTTTTAATCACAAACTTTTATGAGATCAATTAAAGTAGATTAACATGCAAAGAACTGGAGTGCAGTGGTATTGACATAACCTAATTTAAATTTGAAGGCTACGTTACAGATCTTTTTCTCTTCCATCTTTAGCCCAGTCCATATGAAAAAAACAGGGATTTTTTTTTAAAAAAACACAAAGGTAAAGATGAAACGTGGCTTTACTTCCACATTTATCTGATTCAGAGCTGAAAAATATGAGATAGCATCACACATATTTGTATTTTGACATGTATAAATGTACTCTAGAAATTCTGTCCACTTTATTGTCTGTGGCAGTATGGTAATATTCCAGTTCAACAACTTTTTCTATAGTTTAAATTAGTACACACACAAAATGTCATACCTTTTTACTTTTATAACATCTTGTAACATAGGAATGCTTTTAAACATCTTCCCAACTTTACACAACCCGTGAACACTGATTGTTTAGTAACCTTTTTAAAATAACAAAAAAAAAACCACTTCTTTTGTCTTTCGACACATAAATGACCTTAGATACAAGCTTTTTAAAAGGACACTTCCACAATGTAATTTTCCCTTAAATACAGTTGCCCCTTGTTCCTTTCAACTTTCAACAACATAGTTCTTTCAGACATGGTTGTCATCTTGTAGGGAAGAAAGACAAATATTAGTGGATTTCAATGCTAACATATGCCCCAGGGTGACATCCAGTAGCATTTCAACAGAATTTGTGGTGAAATTCTTTTCCATCCCTAAATGGAAACTCAGGGGACAGTTTATGATTCAGAAGAGAATATTCTCCCCCATCTTGTTTCTGAGAGTGGGGGTTTAAGTCCTCCAAGCAACAGAGCATTGTGGCTTAGTCCCAAATTCTCTTGATCAGGGGAGGAATGTGAATAAGGCAGCAAGCCCCAGAAGATCCATTTATAGAAGGAAAAATTAGCCAAAAAGACCAGCTGCTTCCTTCCATAAAACTACTCAGAAACCCCTTAGAGCAGCTCTGAAAAAAAAAAGGCCTGCAGCAGAGTGAAAGAGGAAGAGGGAGAGGCGTGGTCCTCACATACATACCATCTCTAATTTCATTTCAGATCACAATGGCCATAAACTGGCTCCATAAGGGAAGGTCACTAAGGGTTCAAGTCGTGAAATAATCATGGATCTGGTTGGGTTTTACCTGGAGGTCACAAAACTTACTTAACTAGATCAGATAGTAGATCCATTCATCCAATATGCTAGGCTTGATTAGAATTAATCTTGTTTACATTTTCTGGTGCCTCAACATACTGTGTGAATTCAACCTATTTAGAGAGTTTATGTTCAATGCATATATTGCAAACACAATAAATTTATCAACTCAGTGAAGAGGTTAAGCACGTTTGGTGAACACAGTCAATGTATAATTAAAACTGTACTGGACATTGTCAAAATTCCAGAAAGCTTTCAACTGGGAATCACCCTAAGCTTAGCATGCTATGGCTAAAGATAATTCGGCCCTTTTTCTTTTTCTTTCTTTCTTTCTTTCTTTCTTTCTTTCTTTCTTTCTTTCTTTCTTTCTCTTTCTTTCTTTCTCTTTCTTTCTTTCTTTCTTTCTTTTTCTTTTCTTTCTCCCTCTCTCCCTTTCACTGAGGAACTGCTGCATGTTCATCTGTCCTGTGTAATTTCAAACAGAATGAGGTTAGGAAGAAGAAGAGTTTTGCTTACCCATTGTTTTCTGTCAGCCCTAAGAAGGTTTGGATCACAAGTGGCAGTTCAGATTTAACAATGAACAAATAACTGGACATAGCTGTGAAAAGAGAAAGCGGTCAGGATCCCCTGAATTTCCTTTTTGGGGAACAGTGAAAACAGTGAGATGGCATTTGATTGCCCACCCTTATCCTCATGCTGAACACTGGATATTGGTCACAAATCACCATCTCCATCTGTTTGTAGAAGTCAAGATCACAATGCCCCAGAATCCTTTACTCAGCCTTCTTCCTTGAACTCCACATACGTTTGCTTCTGAGTGTGTGTGTGTGTGTGTGTGCCTTTTCTGACCCAACAGGGAAGTGGGAAAGCCTTACCTCCGATGTTGTGTATTGAGATTATGACAGCAGCCACCACTTTGCCCCCATGGCCAAAGGCCTTCAGTCCCAACTGTTCATATGCTCTAATTCCTAAATAGGAGGAAAAAAGAGAGAAAAGGGATTCAGATAGGTTGGTTTGTAATTCTGGGGTGATAACACTACCAGTCCATTCATCTTAACCACTGTTCAAATTATGCTCCTTTCACACTAGCTAGCAGTCAAGTTCATCAATACAGTTCTGGTAGGAATTAACATATTCCTCAACATACTGAGATTAAAAAGCATGCAGCTCCTTGGTAATAATAATAACCTAAGGACAAATTGTGCTCTTCAGCCACGAGCTGCCAGACCAGCTTCCTGCATGGCTCACTGATCAATTTCAAAACCAGGTTTCAAGGCATTTATAGCCTGCACTAATTCTTGTTAGGCCACAGTCCTTGAAGAACAAGACTTTTCATGGTGCAAACTGATAGAAGGCATGAGTTCTAAGAACAGTACAAACCTCTGAAATCCCTTAATAGAATGCACCCCTGCATTCTATCAATTCTATTTCTACCTCCAATGAGTGCCATGGCTAAGTTCAGTGTCTTGCACTGTGGCCGGTAACAAATATTATGGCGTCTCCTGAACTGTGACTTACCAACAACTCCAGCACACTTCAGCAGCAGATGAATGGAATAGGAGGAGAGCAAAGCAATGCAGATCAAAAGGATCCTGGAAGGACAAAAATGAATGTCAGCCCAATGCTTCAGAAATGGACCAACTCTGAAATGCCTCTTCTATGGAGACAAAGAGAACTCTTTCCAATCCTTATCTGGACTGTGAGTTCTAGCCCAACTCTACTTGAATTCACAAGTTCTATCCAATCCCTGCTTGGGAATTAGTTCTTATAATCCATTCAGCAGCAGGCCCACAGGTGGAAACTGTGGCTGAATTTCTACTTGCTTCCTCCCCCTTGGATTGTGATTTTTTTTTCCTGGGTACCATGCTGTGGGAGTTACACTCACACAAAGAGGATGATTCCCGTATTCCTCATGGCATAGGCCAGGCCCAGGATGCCACTCCCCATGATGGCGTTGCTCAGATTAAAGACTGACATCCCAAACGAAGTCTTTCCCTCAAACTGCAGCCAAGATTTAAGAAAAGAAACAAAAACCAAATTTCAGAAATTGGGTGGAAAAAAGCCTTTGGGCCATGTGGAAAACAAAGCACTAATCCTAATATAAGTATAATACATGAGGGTGAAGTGCAAAAGTGATACCAACCATTAAATATCCAAGGGTCATCCAGAAAAGAAAATTGAACCATTATATAATGGCCAACAGTGTACCAGTCTGATTCTTACAGATCTGTACCTTATTCCATATATTTGCATTTAACTCAAGCCTGGAAACATAGCAGAATAAAAACTTCTAAGACACAACAAAAGATGGTTCTCAGAAGAAGAGATGATTCAGGGTGAACAGAAGGAAGCAATGACAGTCAAATGAAAAAGGACCCGGAGATAACAGAAGGCTATAAAGGTGGGGCTGGTTAAGCCTTGTTGGAAATTATAAATATAGGTGGGCATGATATAAATAGATAACAAAATATAATGAGATAATACTTCTAAAAATCTACATGATATAATATCCATGCTAAGAAGAAACACGACACAGCATGGGCAATATCCAATTGAAGTCTGAGATATTCTTGGAACCATATCTTATGTCTCAATGCAAAAGTTGTGCAATGACGTTTTCCCCATATAAAAAAAATAAATAAGTGACACTTGTACAAGGAAAATACTTCAATCCTGTTTCATTAGGTCATGCTGGATTGGTAGACATTTGCAAACTTGCATTAAGAAATAGCTGAGACATTTGAATTTTACTTTCAAGGATCAGTAGAGGAATGGGAATCAACAGGAGCTGGTTGCTTTCACGATGGAAGTAATGTCATGGCATCCCACTGCAAGTTCTGTCCTTTTGTACAGTATGTGCATGCAACATATTCCACATATAAAAGATGGGTCCTTGGTGCTTGCTGAGTACTAACACAGTGCTTGACTAGCAATGATAATGTAACCTAGTTCGGGTAATGAAATGTCTACAAGAAAACAACTAAACTCAAAGAGCACCAAGGACCCCTCATGTCAACCCTGAGCTACAATTATTCTCCTTTATTAGTACATATAAAACAGTTAAGTCTTCTATCACAATTCTGCACTCCCCGTGGACACAGCTGAGTTGAAAATATCTGACTGACATTATCACCTACATCAGTGAATTGGCTGAATTTCTTGCTGGCAGCATTAGGCAAGAAGCCATCTTGTTCTGCTGAAATACGTTCCTCTTCCTCATACCTGAAATGGAAGAAGTAGAAAAGGTCAGTGGAGTCCTATACCAGAACTGCATCTGTTTATCATCACAAATCAATTGCTCAAGCTAAATATTATACAGGCTGTGCTCTGTTCTAATTCAAGTATCCGAATCTTTAGAGAAGATGGAAAGGAATGGAAAAGAGAGGAAACAAAGTAGATGAAACCATCATGTGTTATCGTACTTAGCCTAAGTATTGAACTATTAATGTGATTTATATATTGTTTGGTTGTTCTAATAAAAACAATGGGTTAATTTAAATATATGTATAAGACAGTGCATTAATATTAATGAATTAAATTGTTACTAATCTTTTGACTTTGCTTCAAATATTTGGAGATAATTGCTATGTCGGGTTGTAACAATTATCTTGAACTGGAAACAGCTAGACCACCTTCCCCAATCTGGTGCCCTATAGATCTGCTGGACTAATTCCCCAAATCCCTAATAAACAGCCAATGGCATGAGATAGAAAGCACAGTAATCTGAAACCTCTTAGTGGCATAAGGCTTTCTTACTGTTGCTTAATGAACAGGCTAGATGAGTGTGTGTGTGTGTGTGTGTGTGTGTGTGTGTGTGTGTGTGTGTGTGTGTGTGTGTGACTGTGAAGGGAAAATAAACCAACATTCTCAATCATTCTGACTTACATTATGCCACACTGGGCAGTCAAAGTTTGGAGCCTAACCTGAACTGCAAGGAAACTTCTACCCAAGCCCTCTATAACCTCTGATATCCCCCAGCGTGGTCAAAAGCAGATTTTAAGAAACCATAGAAGGCTGCTAAGGGAGTGGACTTGCAGCACATCCATTTTCCCCCAAAATGGTTTCATGTACAGAGGGGATATAGAATATGAGCTATTCAATGAAGCCTCCAGTATGTTCTGTATCAACCAAGGCTGATAGTGAGCTTTTACTCTCTGCTCTGCCTCTGAAAGAATTCTCAATAGAAGAGCTAAAAGGTCTATGTCAGGGGTCTTCAAACTTGGCCCTTTTATGACTTGTGGACTTCAACTCCCAAAATTCCTCAGCCAGTGTGCCTGGCTGAGGAATTCTGGAAGTTGAAGTCCACAAGTCATAAAAGGGCCAAGTTTGAAGACCCCTGGTCTATGCAATTCTACTACTAACTTCCATAGAGCAGACCCACTTCTTCTCAAACTGGAGGCTCTGTTTAGCCATCACAGCTGGTTTATGGATCTACCTCTAAACAGATGTCAGCTATTCATTATCACCAAGTCTCGCAGCCGCATACATTTCCAATGTAAGAGATCCAGGGGTAGGCAACCTTGGCTCTTTTATGACTCGTGGACTTCAACTCCCAGAATTCCTGAGCCAGCATGGCTAGCTCAGGAATTCTGGGAGTTGAAGTCCACGAGTCATATAAGAGCCAAGGTTGACTACCCCTGGATTATACAGTGCGCAGCTCAGGATTGAACTGTGGCATCCTTGGTGCTCTCTGAGCTTGGGCCTTTGCTTGCGGATATTTCATTACCCAACTAAGTAACATCATCAGTGCTAGTTAGTTGACTCCTTTTTTATGTAAAGTAGCTTGCCCTATCAGCATTGGTAGGAGTGTGGTTTTCTTCTTGATAGTCCCTTGATTAGGGTATTATTTCCTCCTTGATTGTTTATCTGGTATTCATTCCTGCATAGCTAGGTGTTGGGTGCTTGAGATGTTTTCTGTGGTCTTTTTTGTCTCTGGTCCTGTGTTCTGATTTTGTTGGGTTTTGTTTTTGTTTTTTAATGACATGTCTATATTTCAAACCTGAGATCGGACTCTGTATGGTTACTTACACTTGCCATTTAGTGGTCCAATGCCAAATCTGCAGCATGAAAAATAGTTATTCAAATGTATAGCTGCCATTAATTTCTGGACCAAAGAAACAACTGGAAATTTGGCACCTTTGTTACTGAAAGCACCTGGTGATTATGCAAAATGGTGCTCCCTGAAGCCAGTGCAAAGAAAAAAACATGTGTGAGTGCCAAATTAAGCCAATGACCTTTCACAGTATTTCTATGACACATCTTCACCACCAGGAGGGAACTGAAACAGTTTTGGGTAGTTTTATTGAAAATAAAAAATAGGGGGGAAAATCCTAAATCGGAAGCTTGACAGAACATGCAACTAAGAAAAGTTTTTGTTTGTTTTGTTGCTGGCAGAGTAGTTTCTAAAACTTTGGAGGTGAGACTGATGATCCTGTGTTTTAGTTTTGCCAGTAGAAGGAGTTGCTTCTCAATTTGTATTTTTCTATATTACCTCCAGGGCTCTTTGTTACAGGAATATTTTTCCACATGTGGGGGAACTACTCTGATGTCTCTTTGCCTAACCCGAATTCCTGCTTTTCTGGCTTCGATTCTGCTTGCCTCAGTTAATTTCCATCTTTCTCCCATGTTGCCCAATTCTGCATGCCCAACCTTCTCTTCGTCATAACTTCCAAACTAAGAATATATAAATTGTCGATTTCACTCTCTTCACCATTTTCCCAAGCCTTAATTTTTTTTCTGCTCCATTTCTATACTTACTTATATTTGTTTTGAAGGCTGCCCAAAAGTATATATACAATTAATATGCAAATTTCTCCTAAAATCCACAATTCATATGCACATTTTCCTAATATAAATTCCACAAGTATTTGGTTTATTAATCATAATTAATATTTTATGTCGTTTCTTGTTGTTATCCTTTCACTTGTAAGCTGCTCATTTCTCCTTGCAATAAAATCTTTGCATTGTGTGCTGTATTTCTAAGCGGTGACCTCCTTCTGCAAAGTGGAGATGCTGCAGGAATATAAATGCATGCTTCAGTTCACAAAACTTGCAAAATTGTGAATTCGGTTCATTTTCATTTTTATTAAACCACCACTTGTTCAGCAACTAGTTATGATGGCATTGATTGAGGTCCTCGTTATTGTGGCTGTTGCAGTGTCTCCACGGTCATGTGATCGCAGTTTGGGGACTTGGCAGCCAGCTCACAATTATGTCACAGCATCCCATGATTAATTGTGAGCTTCACTGCTGATTTCTGAAAAGCAAAGTCAAAGGGGAAGCCAACCAGAGGTCACAAATGGTGATCCACTGACCATGGGATACTGCAACCATGTTGGATTCACAGCAACTGGGAATGCCACAATTGCCATTGTAAGTTGGCAAAGTGACGTGTTGTGGCACTTTATGACCCCATCACTTAGCAATGGAATTGCCAAGCCCAATCACCATGGTCAAGAAAGGACTACCTGTATGTTTATTTATTGCATTAATATCTCACCTTTTTAACGGGGGCTCAATGTGGTATACATACAGAGTCTCCCACTTATTTTATTCTTCTGAGTGTGAGGTAGGCAGGATTGAGAGAATATGATTGGTCTGAAGTCAGTCAGTCAGTTTCACAGTCAAGTGGGAACTTGATCTGGGTCTCCTGGTCCCCGTCTAACATCTTAACCACTACGCCATAGAGCAGACATGTCAAATTTGTGACATCGCGCAACGTATCAGGACGGTTTTGCCATTGCCGGCAATGGGGTGGGCACGGCTTCCAGATGATGCGTCCGGCCCACGGGCCAGCAGTTTGGCACCCCTGCCATAGAGGATGTATTCCCAACCAATTTCTCTGCCACTCCCAAAGACTCACCCGTCCTCCAGGACAGCTGCTTTGTCACTGTCAGGTATGGTACCATTGAATCTTTCAGTGCCAACCTCATTTCCCATTTTTTGCAGTTCCATCTTCTCAGTCAGTGGGGTGTTTGCACACAGATGTGGATAACGTATTCAGTAAACCACCAGCAGCAGCAAGAGCAACGAAATGGGTTCAGCAGGATACCTGAGGACATGAGAAGACTTCAACAAGCAGCACTCAATAATACTGTGGGGCGGGGGGGGGAGAGGGGCTGGAATTAGATAGTACTAAGAATCCAAATATTCTACTCCCAGCTACAGGAAGGGTGTGGAATGGGGGGAGGGGCACTGCCAGAATAGTTCTGCCACTCCAATGAAAAGACACGCCAAGAAACATAAAGCGATTCCAACCCCATGCCTGGAGGAGAGTCTGTCCTGACAGAGGGTAGGTGAGGAAGGATGTTAGCCTGTTCCCTCTCCCATCCACACCTTTAAGCATGAGTTGGCAGGCTGCTTCCCTAAGCATTTTCACACACATCTGCATGTTACTGCCAAGAAACATGGCACGTACTCACGTACTGGGTGGTGTACAAACTGCTCAATCAGTCCTCCTGCCCTAATAACTATCACACACTCAGGTAAGAAAAAAAGCACTAAAACTTATAGGAGGAAAGCACATAAGCCATTTCTCTTTTTTCTCCTCTTGTATTTCTCAAAGATTCCAGTCTCTTCCATTTTTCTCAACCTGGATATGTTGAGGATACAATAAACACACATGCTACACCTCCACCCACGTTTTTTGATCTTTGGGGTCTCTGCAATTAGACTTCTGAAACAGCCAATTTATTCCAGTTGTTTTAGGCTTTATATTTGTCAAAGGTTTTGGAAGAGGACTTTGTTTTGTCTCTATGTGTGTCTGTCTGTCTGTATTGTTTTGCTGCTAACCACTTCAGCATCATTGGACATTGCTGTCCCACACAATACCTGCAATATCAATTAACAGTGCTGTCCTAGAGGCAAAAATACTTGTTCACTTGACCATTATACTCTGTAGCCCTTGAGCTCAATGAACAGTTTCCAGCATAAAATGGGCACAAACTCCTATAATCAATGAGTGAGTGATTTCTATTGGATAATTTAGGCAGAAGTGGTGGAAATCAAACTCATGATGAAAGTTGCAGTCCAAAATTTGATTGGAGGGAAGTAATCTGAAAAAACTGATGTTGGAGTTCAATTCAGGCAGTCTGACCAAAAGCTTGAAAATGGTGAGATTTTAGCCTCTATTTAGAATGCAGAAATGTGAGACTGGCAAATCTGAATAAGCAGGCGCCATACAATAAGACATTCTCCATCGTGAGCCTAATTAACATAAAAGACTGCATTGTTCCCACCGCCGCCCCACCCAGCAGTATGCTTCTTAGGTCTTTTATTTACATTACAAGCTGAAGTCAAGAGTTAAATCTTTTACCCAACTCTGAAAATTACAAAAACAAAACCTGTAGTGTATTGTCTGCCAGGCAAATTGTACAGAAGCCACAGATTGATGACCCCCTAAAACTGAGGATAGCAACAGGCCTCTGCAGTGCAATATTATTGGGAAGGACAATTAAGTTTCTAACCTGCACCACACTATACATTTAACACAAGAGAAATCCTGAGGGAATGGGGAAGGTAAAATTCCTTAATGCATTCCTCATGCACACTTATATTTTCATATTACTACCCAAACCAGAGGTGTCACGTAAATGAGACCTTTAACTTTCATCCCACTCCACAGTAATCCAATCAATCCCTCCCACTTCTAGATGTCTGGAAGAGAACTCCCATCAATGCTAATGGAATAGTCCCAGGTTTAGAGAGGCACACCTGCCTCTGGGACCCAGGAATCCAAGGGTTAACTGTGCCACCTGGGAAAAGCTCTGAGGCTAGGTGGGGCAAAAATGCAAATGGAGATGTCTGATTGGTGCCTTGATCTTTAACCGCATCCTTCCCTTGGAGATATATTCCCACAGAAAACATAGAACAAGAGCTTTCTATTCTGGTGGGATGAGCCAATGGGCCCCACCACGGCTGGGAATAATAACTGTGACTGGATTCCTCAGTTCTTGTTTCAGATTGTGGGAGGTACAAAACTGCAACTGTGGAGAACCCGTGCCCTCTAAATATTGTGAAACTATAGCCATTCCAGCCAACTTGTCCAATGCTGCAACACTGGGAGGGTTGTTGTCCTTACTATGGCATGAAAAGGGTGAATGCAAAAGCTGCATAAAGTTTATGGTCCAGTGGTATGTTCTTTCCAAAACAAAGGGTGGCTAGGTTTCCAAAACATGGCTGGCTGATTTGAGGCTCAATGAACTATGTGAAATTAGCCCCTCTTGATTAGTTTGTTGTTCAGTGTGTTGGGTTAATCATTCATTAACCCAGGTGATGGGTTAACCATGGTTAAGTAACCAAGGGTAATTGTCCTGCAAACACAGCTGACTGGTGTCCCAGCTTTGGCCTGGTGTGTTTCCATTTGGTCATATCACTTGTGATTCTAAGTCAGGGATTCCTAAACTTTCTGCCACCACGCCTCCTTTTAGTGTAATCTTAATATACACCCCCCCAAACATCCAAATATGAAAAAGAACACAAAAGAGCATTGAAAACAATACAATGAAACTATAGGGAAGCTGGATTTATTGTAACAATGTAACTAAAAGGTTCTTTACCTTCCCCTAGATTCTGCCTGCACCTCCCCAAGGGAGGTATATACCTCACAGTTTGGGAAACCGTATTCCAGAAACACACCTAGAGTGCAAATCAGGATGGAAACACAGGAGTTGGAGCCTGGGCAAAAGGAAAAGCTGGCCTGATGTGGTTGACTACGAAAATGCATGCAACCCACAAAAACCTATTCCCAGGACACTCCTAAAGTAAAACGGGTGGGAAGAAAAAAAGAAAGAGGCCAGGAAAGAAAAAGAAATAAAGAATTTAGTATCAGCTACAGTGGTGTTTATAGTGTTTCCTTTCTGCAATATGAAATATAACAACCAACTGTCCATCCTTCAGCCACAGAAATGGAGCTACTGGTGTCTTTAATCCCTCCTATTAGTGAACAATCCAAGAACATAACTATGACTGGTACTTAAATATGTTTATTTAAGTTCGATTGTGTTTAGAGTAGCTTCTTCTCAGACAATTGTACATAAGATAAAGAATTATATCATTAAGTTTAATAGTATTTTGTATGAGGCTTTCCTTTACCTAAAATTTTAAGAGTTTTACCCAGAGATTTTAGACATCTGATTAAACACTGTGATTTATTAATTGTAGTTAATAATGATGACAACAAGAGGTTTACACATTGCAAAAGCCTTAATATGGCTTTGTTCTTGGTCAAGTGTTGTCTAAACCCTGCTTGCAACAATAGTATAGTTTGCAAACCTATGGCTTAGTATGAATGAATGCAGCCAATCATAGCTTGTTTAATAAACCACAAGCAAACCATGAGTCCAGATCATACTGCAAGGGAACTTTGTCAGTCCTTTTCTAAATATCAATAAATTGGTTTGAAATCAAATACATCTAAACCACCCAGGAAGGACAGACTCATTGTGCACACAACTGGGCACTCTTAATCAACAGCCAAACATGACTAGGCTGTCATTTCAAGACAGCACAGCACTGCCACCCCCACAATCTTCACCCCATTTCAAGGTCTGAAATATCATCTTGATTTGCAAACATTATAAAGTGATAAATGCTTATCTTAAAGTTGTGGGAAAATCTTTTAGCCTCTGGCCCCAATCTCTCAAGGAAACCCCCAAAAGATGATTGTCAGCTATGATGGGAAATCAACCAAAAATGGTTGTACCCAATAGCAGAAGGGCCAAAAAGGTTATTTCCTTTTGTATCATATGTACATGCACGCATGCACACAAACACACACAAACTTCAATTTTTTCTCTTCCCATTTTTTTGCTCTGTGGTTGGTTGAGAACCTGAATTATTTACAAGGAATGTCCAACAGATTGTACGATGCAGTACAGAGTATGGTTCTAAAAAATGTATTATAAAAAACCACGGTAGCTATGTTTGACAGAGAAAAAAGAAGTGAACAATGCCACATTATACATAATGATAAATTAGAATAGATGTACACTGATAGAATGTTCACAAAACATGGGAAATAGATAGAGAAATGTTAAGATGTACAGTACCAGTAGAAAGATAGCCTGATCTATATGAGAAATTGATGTTTAAGAAGCAAAATTTGCTTTATTTACAGTATAAAGAAGCATGTTTCTGCTATTTTGCCATATGAAAATGAGAGTTGGATGTTTCAGGAGAAATACAGAAGTTAATTGAATGCAGTGGCAATGGGGAATTTGTGTGATAACAAGCCAGAATAAAAAATAAATGGATTATGAATTATTGAAAGTGTCCAACGAGAACAATAATAAGCTAATAAGTAGCATAATCATATAGCTGAATGATCTATATGATCTAAAGAGAAATCAAAGTATGTCATACACAGTAGAGAAAGTAAATGAGGATCAAATTGCAAAACATATACAGAAAGAGTTAACAGGGCAAGAATGAAAACATCGAGAAAATCATGGGCCTTTCTCACTGATCTCAGCCAAAATCTTTAAGAAGACATATGTAAGCATACATACAAAATTATGGCAAAATAATGGTTTCAAATATGTACATTGGTCATGAACTGAAATCCAACAGAACAGAGAAAATAAACGTATGTTATATTTCAAACCACCTGTCCACACCAAACTAAAATAGTTTTTAATAATGAAAAAACAAGTTAGAAATGTTCTGAACAAACAAGATCCCTCCTACCTTTAACTAATAACAGGAGAGCAATGATTGGGCACAGATAGGAACCACCTCCCTCAAAGCAGCCTTGGGCATGTCCTCCCAAAGATGACATTTCTAACCACTGAGGGCATATTAGATAATTTACCTCAAAATCACTTTTATTTATATGTTGCATATTATACGCAAATACAGCAAAATTGAATGAGCTACATGGAAAATATAAAGATAAGTATGTTATCTCTGAATAGTACAATACAGAAGTAAGAAAAAACAACTAGCAATTTTTTAAGATCTTGCAACCAGGTCTTCTAAAGACAGGCTGGCCTATCCAGGACAAGTAAAATGAAGGGGGTTTATAGTCTAATCAATTTAGAGGGTTGCAAAATT